ATATAGAATAATATATATATATATACATGTGTGTATATGTATATTATGTATATGTATATTTATTATACATGTATATACCGCTCGTAAGCAAAAAGGAGTTATTCTAATTGTAAGACGAAAAGTCCTATACCACTTTGGAAGATTCGCAATAATTAACGAGAAATGAATGAATAAAGATCCGCTAATCCAGCATAAGGGGAGCGTAAGGACAGTCTAGTCTTTCGCGTGGACGCGCCGTTGCGATGGAATGGGAGGGCTAATAGAATAGTATGTGCACCTATATATAAACAGTATATAAGCTGCGTTCGGGGATCGCGCTATCCGCGAGACTAGGCTGTCCTTACGCTCTCCTTATGCTGGATGCACGCTGATTAGCGGATCTTTATTCATTCATATCTCGTTAATTGCGAATCTTCCAAAGTGGTATAGGACTTTTCGTTTTACAATTAGAATAACTCCTTTTTGCCTACGAGCGGTTAGACGGTAATTATGGGACACCCTGTATATGTACAGGATATTTGGTAATTGCCGTAACACCGCCGTAGGCAGGTAGGAATTATTCGGAGTTGAAAAGTTCTATACCATTTTGAAAGATTTGCAATAATTAACGAGATGTTAATTAATAAAAATTCACGAATGAGCGTGCATCTACGTGCATAATGACAGCTCAATGTTTCGCGCGCTTACGATGTTACGGTACTTACCAAACACCCTGTATGTATGTATATATGTGTATATATACAGGGTGTCCGACAATCTTTAACATCTCTTAAAGATTCGCGAATAAGTAAACATCGGGCTGTCTTACTGCTTTAAGAGGCGCGCTTCGCGCAGTTATCTTTTATTATGTATATGTTATAGTATATGTTGTTGTATTAAATTGGCTCTTCCCATACGTTGCTATGTGTAACATCGCGAGCGCGTTTAAAGCAGTAAGACAGCCCAATATATGGTTATTCACGGATCTTTGTTAATTAAGATCTCGATAACTATTTCGAATCTTGCAAAATAGTATAGAACTTTTTTTCGACTTTGTTTTACTTCTTCTATCTTTCTACAAGAGATGTTAAAGTAATCGTCGGACACCCTGTATACACACATTATAAATATTTGTATATTACTTCATCAAGAGTAAAGTATTCTCTATCCCAATCAAGTGTAGCACCAAGAGCTTTTAACTGTTGATTGATTATTGCACTCTTCTCTGCCTTCCACTGCCAAATTAGTTGAATAAATTCAGAACGTCCCATTTTCTGCCTTGTAATATTCTGAGTATTCAGTGTACGTTCTACTACTGCCTGTGTTGCAATTCCAGCATGATCCAGACCTGGTATCCATATCACTGGATGACCTTTCATTCTATACCTATGTATACATATATATTATTAATAAAACTTGATATAATAATTAATCTTGTAAACTCCTAATGCTCAGACATTAAATGTCTAAATAATTATTGAAAATGAGGAAATCTTATTAACTATTTAGTAAAAGAATTTCTAAACAATAAACAAATATATCAAAACTAATGTTATTGTTTTAATTATAGAATGTTGAATAAAGTTCAATAAATTTCAGCATAAATGTTCAGGATTTATAGGATACATACCTAAAACAACATTTACAGAATTAGAAATTAGAGTTAAGCAGAGCTTTATATCATTAATCTACAACTATTATTACACTAGTATTATTTTATATATGTTCAACATTGCTAACCATCTTGCTAAAACATCCTGAATTGTAGCAGTAAGCGCATGACCCAAATGCAAAACTCCAGTGATATTAGGTGGTGGTAAAATCATGTTGAAAGATTCTTTTTCTAACATTTCCTCTTGTTTGTTATCACATGTCTTTATTCTGGAGGCCATAAAGTATTTGTTCTGCTGCCAGATATTGTACCAGTTTTCTTCTATGTCCTTAGGTTTCAATATAGCTGGAAAATCTGTGCACACAAATTTCAAAGAAATGCATCTCTCTACTGTATTTTCTTTGTGTTCTTATATTGTGTTTGATTAATAAGTATTTATTGATTTTGGCTCATGTTGTCCTGCTGATGCGAAAAAAATCACCTGTTAATAGCTTCTTATTGGACAATTCTGCTGTAGGTGAAGAGAAAGTACAATAGTATAAAATTTTTCGATAAAACATTTTTGAACTCAATGTACGCTGCATTTTATTTTATTTACTGAGATACTCTTTGAATTACTTTTTTATTATAACATATACCAGAGAAAAGCCTGAGAGCGGCCATGCTATTGTAGTTTCTTACGACAGTGGTCTAGTTTCCACCAAAACCCTCAATTCGGTTTCACTCCGGTACTGATCAAATTTAGTGCTCTGTTTCCATTGGAAGTAGAGTACTTATAGATCGAAGCGGAAGTGAAATCAGCACAATTTGACAGGTTTCCATCGACTTGAATTTGATTCTACGTCACATTTGGTGTGACTTAATGCTTCGGTGGAAACTAGACCAGTTTCAACCGCTGGTTTTAGCCGTATTTCCACAAAAGTGGAACTCAAAGGCCGTTCTCCATGAAACTCAAGTCGCAGGTCTCGTGGAACTGATCAATCACGTTGGTCGATTGGCTGATTTGACTCTGCAATTGGTTAATTCTACGAGATCTGTTACTTGCGTTTAATGTAGAACGGCCTTTGAGTTCCACTTTGTGGAAATACGGCTAAAACCAGCGGCTGAAACCGTCGTAAGAAACTACAATGGCATGGCCGCTCTCAGGCTTCTCTCTGCTTATATTTAATGTACTCTCAACAGCCGGTTTACAATCTTTAGGGTTAGTTTATGGTGCTGTTGTGGCTCAGTGGACCTGTTAAGCTAGTCCATACGCCATGGTTAGTTTATAGTTCGGTGCAGGGTTGGGTTCACGTATTATACATGAGATATTGTACATTGTATTTTATCAAAACAAATGTTTGTATAATAACAATTATACAACTAAACAACAACTATACAGTTTATAATTTGTATAGTTGTTGTTTAGTTGCATAATTGTTAGCTGCATTAGATTATGTGAGCATCAAAGTTGGGCACGTATTATACCGTATAATACATGCCCAACTTAGATGCTCACATAATCTAATGCAGCTAACAATTATGCAACTAAACAACAACTATACAAATTATAAACTGTATAGTTGTTGTTTAGTTGTATAATTGTTATTATACAAACATTTGTTTTGATAAAATACAATGTACAATATCTCATGTATAATACGTGAACCCAACCCTGGTTCGGTGCAAACAAAAAGAATCTTGAGAGCGGCCAGAGCCAGATCTATAAGAGTTTTTGAAATTGCTTTTCCGCACCGTAAGCTAGCGCATGTTCATGGGTGGTGCAAATTGGCAACTACGTAGCAAACCACGAACGATTTGTCGATATGTACGCTATGTCCAAACGTGGACATGGTTTTATTCCGTGCTATGTTCACGACTGTGCGGTTCTAGTCTGTGCTATGTGCACAAATCGGAGCATCGTCACCAGTGTTTTCCGTTATCTAGATAAAATTATCTAGATGTTCATCTAGATGTGATAATTGTTTTATTTTATCTTTATCTAAATAATTAAAATATATGACATCTTTATCTGTATCTCAGATA